TTGGCGGGTCGCGCAACACAAGGTGGCAGGCGCTGGGAAGATAAAGCGCGGCAGATGACGCTGGGCGCCTGATCGCTCCAAAGTGGACCTTGAGGGTTTACACGTTGTAGAGGGACACGGGTGTGGCAGCCCCTTCACCACACGTCCATTCAACGTTGAAGGAGCGGACACACGTACGCATGCAGCCAGCCCAGCGTCGCCCGATTTGGCGCACGCGCGGCCTCCAAAGCCCCGTCTTTACGCCGCTCACCCCTTTCTCTGCGAGCCCGTAGGCAGCGACCGCGCAGAACACCGAGGCCATGAGGCCCACGATGTTGGGCTCAAACATCATCACGTTGCCGGATGCGAAGCCATAGGCCACCCATGAGGCGGTGCACAGGACAGAGAAGGCGAAGGGGCGCGGCTCGAGGTCCTGAGGGTTTGGAGGGTGGGCGGTGGGGACAGAGGCAGGGCGGGTGAGTATGGGGGACGGGGGCTGGGAGGAGCGTCGGCGGCACAAGCAGCGCGCGCTGCAGTTGCGTGGTGAGGTGGTCAGGTGGCCGTGTGTCCTCTTGGAGCCAGGGCGCGGGTGTGAGCCACGCAGGCACCGCATGCGTTTGCAGGCGGGGGCCGCACCGCACTCACCCCGAGCATGCCGGCAGTCCTGGCTTTGTGGACGGCGTACAGAGGGGACGCGTACATGAGGGTTGACAGCACGGAGCCGGCGATCCCAAACGCGAGGCCGGTTGCGTTCGACATGGTGTCCCGAGCTGTCAGCTGGCGCGTGCGTTGTCACGGCGGAACGGCGGCGGCCGCGAGATGAGGGGTGTTCGGCGCAGTAAAATGCTTGAAGAAATAGTAGTACGCGATCAATATGCTCGTGGCGGGCTCGTGTAGTGGGTCTGCGGCGGGGTTATGGCGGTTGACCGTACCGGGTTCGCTATGTGTTCGCGAGCGAAACGATGGATAAAATCGAGTTGTGAAAAATGCGTATTTCGGGGGAGGTAGGGCGTGCCCGCCCAAGGCAGCACCGCATGGTCACTGGTCACGACGATCGCCTGCCGCCTGGACTGCTGTGCAGTGACCGCATCCCATGCCCACCCGTCGGCATAAGTGAACAAGCAGCACGCCCGACAGTGTTAGATGAGATACTGTCAGCTGGAGACTGTCTGAAATAGGTTTACCGGAATGCCAAAAGCAGTCGTGCATGCACAGGGGCGGCGCGAAGAAGCTCGGTTCGCTGTTCGCTTGTGGGTGGCGCCGCAGCAACGCGGCGGCGGCGGCGAGGGCGGGAGGGGGCCATAGCATGCACATGTCAAAAAGGCGAGAGGTGCCGCCGGAAACAAGGGGGTTTGCGGCGCGCATCGGGCTGTGTGGCCCGCCCGGAGGCGCCCGGCGCGCCGCACGCGGCCCACCGGGCGGGGCGGCAGTGCGGGTTGGCAGGGGGAGGCGCAGTGCCAAAACCGCCCCCGGAAAGGTGCGTGGCTGGGGATGGGGGGGCAATACATAGGGGAGGAGTGTGGCAGAGAGAGCGAGGGGCGGGCCCGAAGGGGGTGTGTGTGGCGGCTGGCGTGCAAGCAAAGGGTTGTCGCGCCGACGGAATGTTGCCCGTTTTGCGGTCGCGCGCGACACGCCAGGGCTTCGCCCCTTGAAAAACGCGCGCCAGCCCGAGGGAACGGCCGCACCCACCTCGCGCGAATGAATACAGCGGCCGATGGCGAGCGGAGGGCCTCGGGCAGGGGTGGGGGCGGCACCCAATCAGGGAGGAGGAGGCCACCCCGTTTCGGCTGGGCGCGGCCGCACCTGCTGCTCAGGGGCGAGCCGGCCGGCAGGCCGCACGGCGCGGTGCCCCGTCCGAGGCGCGAGCGCGCTCGCGCGTTGACGACCGTCCCCTGCGCGGGCGGCAAGCCGCAAAATCTGGCCCGTTGATGGCGGGCACCGCGGCGAGGGCCCGCGGCGCAGCACACAGAGTGCGGGCGCCCAAAACGGGGCGGGAAGGGGCGCGCAGCGCGCGTGCGTGTGTGCCCGCGTGACTATCTATCTAGTGGGAGGGCAAGAGGGTTGGTCCCACGCAGTGATGGAGATCACGTTTCGTCGCAAAAAGGGGAGAGCGGGCTGTTGAATGAAGGCCCAGGGGGGGTGAGGCGCCCAGCAGGCGCACAGCACGCGCACGCGGGCTGCGAGGAGAAGACGAATAACTACACGAGCGTAAGGATGCCAGCCGGGACGACAACAAAACACACGCACGCACACAAAAACTAGCAGCGCGCTAGAGGGGGCCGGCCCCAGCGGCGCGACGCCCGCCCTACCCGCGCCTGGAATTAGGTCGGGCGACGCGGGGCCAAGGGCGCAAGCGCGTGCGTGCCCACAGGAAAAAGGTGCCAGCGCCTCCGCGGCCTGCCGCTGCCGATGCCCGCAGGCCGGCTTGCGCTCCCGCCGCGCGCATAGGCAGGCGTCGCCGCCAGCTGTTGAGCCCCGAGCCTAAAGGGACTCGCGGGGCACGCGTGAACCCCGCGGGGACCCGCGCGGAAAACAGCGGCAGGCCAGGCCGGCGGGGCCAGGAGGCGGAGGGGGCGGGGCGCAAAAGGGGCAGGGCGCAAAAGGGGCGGGGCGCGCAAAGGGGCGGGGCGTGCAAAAG